TTCTGGAGCAGCCTTATTCAAGTTGCCTGTTTCCCCCATCCCCAAGAATTTTCCAGAGCCTAATTATTAAATAAAAGGAATGATTTAAATGTGATTGGTGGTAAAGAATTGACCCTACAATGATAAGGTGATAACTCCTTGTGATTATAGGAGAAATAAATTTGAACTCTAGTGCAACTTTGCTCAAGAAATCTCATGTTGCACCAGCCATCTGTCTCCAGGGGTATTCAGAGATCAAGTGTCAGACTTTCAGCTTGACTTTAATCTTATAAGTCCTGAAACTTGGCCAAAAGATCGCTGAGTCTTCTAGGGATGATGGTCTCCAGGTGAACGATACTGCTCAGTTCCCTCCAGGCCACAGTGGGTATCAGCAGAAGGGGCCATCTCTAGTTCAGCTAGAGAAATGGCAGTAAACAAGGCAGCCAAAGAGGGAATTGTTGGATATATTACAATCATAGTGATAGGTACAAATGGATCCTATAATAGAAACATCATAAAATCCTATTTGTCCACACAAAGGTAGAAAGTGGCAATGAAAGCTTTGGAAATTCAGAATCTTTGAATGTATTTGTAGAATTATATTTTTACTAATTTTAAAATGCTGTTCATATTTTTAAATCACATATTTGATTAAGACAGATTCTTTTTTAAATTTTATTTTTTTAATTGGAGGATTACTTTACAATATTTTGATGGTTTCTGCCATACATCAGCAAGAATCAGCCATAGGTATACATATGTCCCCTCCCTCTTAATCCTTCTTCCCACCTCCCTCTCCGTTCCGCCCCTCTAAGTCATCACAGGCACCAGCTTTGGGTCCCCTGTGTCACACAGCAAATTTCCACTGGCTTATCTGTTTTGCATATTCTACAAAGTGAAGTAAATCAGAAAGACAGATTCTTGTTCAGAACTCTAATCTCTTCAAATACCCCGTTAATGATCCTGAAGAATGTAGAGATAATCAATACCCTGTATTTTCCCCAAAGTTATGAGAAGACTGTGTGCCAGGAATGAGAAAGAAGAAAAATAAATCAGGGCTGAACCCAAAGGGATTTTGATCAGAGCATGAATAATCTTTTTCTTCAGGAAGGATCCATAATAAAGGGTAAAAAAAAAATAGTACTTAAACAAACGAGGCTGTTAGAGAAGCAATGTTGTTCCAGAGAGAAGAAGAGATGTCATACAAGGATAAGGAATTATTAAGAAAGCTGGCTCCTCATGCATGAGCATAAAGGGAAACTAATAGAGATAATATATTTAGAATCTTATAAAGCTTTCGACAGGTTCACATCTGAGTGAGTCATCCTGGGATTGGGAATGGGCTGCTTTATTCTGCACTGAGAACAATCTCAAAAATTGAAAACAATTTCTGGCCTAAAGTCTTACAACAGTCTGGTTCTGGTCATCCTCCAGCCTCTATTACCCCAAGATGTTCCTCCAGGATCCAGAATGATCTTTCAGGAGCGCAAATTCAATAAGCTTACTCCTGCTTAACACCTTCAAAGGCTTCCACTGCTTTAGAACTGCTTTAGAGCTGAACATACTACATGTTTGCTTTTTCAGTCTCCCTTGCAGCTAGAACTCACCCACATAACCTAAGCTCAGCCACTCCCATGCCCTGGATTCAGGAGTAAGTGATGGGAAAACACAATGGCCTTGAGGAACTTTTCCAGTGGCTGTACTTGTAACAAACTTGAGTTCTTGGGCTATTAGAGGCAGCTTACCTGTACAGGCTTCTACGCCCAATGCCCAGGGCTAGTGGCATCAGTCACATATGGCAGCACTGAATGCTCACATAAGGTGACAACTCCTGAGTGTGATTTGGGGCAGTTTATAATGATAAGATGTTAAAAAATTGTTTAAAAAATTCTGCCTATGTCTTTCTGGATCCTGCCCTCTTAATTATTCATTATTGGTTGTGCTAGGTCTTCCTTCCTGTGCATGCAGGCTTTCTCTAGGTGTGGTGATCGGGGGCTACCCTTCTTGGCAGTGCGTTGAGGTGGCTTCCCTTGTCGCGGAATACAGGCTCAGATTGAAGCGTGTGAGCTTAGCTGCTCCACAGCACATGGGAATCTTCCTGGACCAGGGATTGAACCTGTATCCCCTGCATTGGCAGGCAGATTCTTATCCACTGTACCACCAGGGAAGTCCTACTGTAAATGTTTTTCCTGTAACTAAGGTGTATTAGAATAACTCTCACAGGAAAAAAAGATTGGTATAATTGAGGATTCATATGGTCACCTGTCTAAATCTGAAATCACTAAGAAGACATTTTACATCAGAAAAATTTGGCAGTGGATCTGAGCAAGCAAATAACAAAATAAACATAAATGAACAAAAATATATGAAGTTATATTATACTTCAATATTATGGGCTTCCCTGGTGACTCAGATGGTAAAGACTGCCTGGAACATGGGAGACCCAGGTTCGATCACTGGGTCAGGAAGATCCCCTAGAGAAGGAAATGGCAATACCCTCCAGTATTCTTGCCTGGAGAATTCCATGGACAGAGATATGAAGTTATATTTAATAAATGAAATGCAAACTAAAATATTTTCATTAATTAGGTTTAAAATAATAGTTTTAAACTCAGAGTTTAATAGTTATAATAATAGTTAATACTCAACAAGACCTGAATGTGTGCCACTGTTCTAAATGTTTTATAATAACTCATACAATGAGTTTAATAAAAAATGTTTTACTAGTTTATCCATTTTAAAGATAAGGAAACAGAATTTAAATATATTCCAGGTCACCTAACCAGTAAGTGGCAGAGCAGGGATATAAAGCTAAGGAGGTCAGGGGTGAAACTCAAAGTTCCAAACAGCCAGCCCCCATCCTTAGGTGTGATTCGAAAGTCACCTTATTAACATAAGACACCTTTTTGTTATCTCACTTAGGAAATCCCAAGGGTTTTAGAAGTTCTGTGCCAGAAACAAAGACTGAATACATACTTATTATAAATCACAGAACTAATATTAACAGGATTTTACTTTAATTTGAAGTCATCACTAACTCCTGGCCATCTGGGGTTTCTTGTACTTCGGAAGCTGTAGATAAGAGAAAAAAAAATGGCTATTTATACTGGCAGCACTAAATGACCTTGATTACAAGGAACTAGGGTTGCCGTTACACAATGGGGGCAGACAGGGATACCCCTGACTCCCAAGGGATTCACTGGCTCATTTTCATGCTTCCATGCTCCGTGAGAAGTATAAACAGGCAGCTGCTGCATCAAAGGCCTGATGATGCTAGAGTAACTAAGGTTCTGGCCTTTGGAAATGAAAATCCTGGTAAGCAACCTAGATCTGCTAAAGTGATGGCCAAGAGAAGGGAAATCTAGAGAGCATGGTGAGGGGAAATGATGATTATCAGCTAGGGCCTCAACCAGTCTCAACTGTGGACAGCAGCTTGCTCCACTAGCCCTCCTGTGACACTGTACCTAACCCCCACCCCACCAAATGACAGATTCAGTGTGTGCAGAGGCAAGCTGTTCGAAGAGTGGATGAGGAAATCCCATGCCTCTTGTGGCCTACTTCAATTCTGCTTGACCCATCTTTTTAGTCCAATTGCTGCTGCAACTCTAAGCTGCCTGCAGGTGTGACTTCACCTCGGCTTCACAGCATGTCACCTGCTTTCTGCCCTAACCTTCCTTCCTTCTCCATGAGATGCCTATAAGAACCCAGTCAGCCCGTCTGAGGCTTGCTCACACTTGGCAGTACAAGAGAATTAACTGCATGAGACAACTCTGGACCAAGAGTGAGAGGAGCGAGTGGTATATATTCACTTTTTTCAAGTCTGAGGAAAAGTTGTGTGTCCATTCCACAGTGCTCCTCAGAAAGCCCCTATAAGAATTCAGCCCGTTACCCTCAGGCCAAGAGCACACAGTTGATGGGTTTTCCCTCAATCCCTGTTTCACTCTTAAAAGTCTGCCCCTTGTTCTTTCAGATCACTTCCTAACATAAAAAATCTGTACAAGCTTTTCTCTTGGGCTCTGCATTTTGGGGGTACACCAGGTTTATGTAAGGATCAAATGAGAGAATAGTTGTAAATATGCTTTGAAGCTAAAACAAAAATACTCATGTAAGCCAGCCCCATAGAGCATGCTGTTCCCCCTACATTTGATTTTACTTTGTTCTCATAGATGAAATTGTCATCCCTTGTTTCAAGACTGAATTACAAGGCATGGGGCAACTTTTACTGAGCAATACTCTGTTACTTCATTTTCATCTTATGAGGTAGTAGACATTACTATCTCCATGCCATGGATGAGGATGTGGAGGCCTGGTATTCCAAATACTAAGCTCAAGCTAAGATTCTAGCCCAGATCTGACTTCCAAAGACCATGCTCTCTATCTTTTTACTTTTGTTCTTCAGCATGTCCTCCACCCTCCCTGTCTTCTCCCTAACAGTGGTCCCCAATCTAGCCATACCCAATACACCTCACCCTTTTGTGCTCTTGTTTTGCTCTGTCAGCCCCTGTGATCTTCAGGGCCGAGATCAAATGCCATCTTCCTAGACAGAACTGCTTCTTCATCAGCTTGCCTACATCACTTTCCTGAATCACTATCTTTTTTTTTTTTTAAAACCACAAGGTTGTTAACTGTTCTGCTGCATTTATGACTGGGGCTGGAGCCAGACAACAGCTTAGGTCTTAAATAGTACTAGATGCATAATAAGCACTCAAATAATAACTGTTGAATAAACACTTGTCAGTGTGTGTACTTCTAAAGCACAGGGCCTAAGTTTGTCCTACTGACTGCTATACTCTCAGCACGTAGCACAATGCCTGGTTTATAGCAGACACTCATTTGCTAAATGACTGAATGAATGAACACGAATCTGTTTCTTCATTAAACTGTGAATTCTTACAAAGTGGGATTCTACAATGTTCAGCAAATGTTTGCTTATTCCAAGTAATATTAAGAAAGAAAAACTATTTATTTAATGATTAATTGATTTATTTAAACAATAGTACATATAGACATCATTGTCAGACTTAATATGAGATGCTAAATGTTCGATCCAATTTTCCTTCCTGGATAAGTTTTTCTTTCCTATCCTGCACAAACAGAAAAAAAAAAAAAGTACATTAAAAACAATGCATTCTGGCACAATTCATGGTATAACTCTGGAAAACAAGAAGAAACACTCCCAACCTAATTCCAATCTTTCATTGTCTAAAGTTTGCACAGTATGACTGAGGAAGCAATAATCTGAAGAAATAAAGTGATAGTAAGAAAACACTCCTATTGAAAAATATCTATATTACCCCCACCAAATAGCATACACTGAAAGCAAAAGGCATATACCTTCTGGTAAGTGTGGCCTACCTTTCTGTTAAGCAATAAATTATCAGATAATGAAAATATATACACTCTTAACAGGACAGTGGATTGACCAGTTTAAGGCAGAGCTATAAACACATTGGTGGGCTCCAGTGTAAATGGCAACACAAGGCCTGCGGGCTCAGGTTGGGGATCTAGTATCAGACTGGTCTAGTGTCAAAGATAAGCTTGGCTTTCTATGCAGTCACATACCCAGGCCTCTGATGTCAGTGATCCCCACCACAGGCTGCTTCTGCTACTCTACTGTTGGAATATCAATGTTTTAACATTAACTCACACAATATGACCAATATAACTGAAATTCTTACAGAGCAGACAGGGAACATACAAAGTGATACATGTATTCTGCTAATATGTAACCCAATAAATATCTCTTTTAAAAAAACATCTAAAGGTTAATCAGAATGGAAAATCTTAACTTCTGCACATCTAATGAGAAAAAAGCAATTAACTTTTAAAGTTATTTCTGTATCCTCTTGCTTAATATACACAGGTGGTGCAGTGGTAAAGAATCCGCCCACCAATGCCAGAGACACAAGAGACACAGGTTCGTTCAATCCCTGGGTCAGGAAGATCCCCTGGAGAAGGAAACAGCAACCCACTCCAGTATTCTTGCCTGACAAATTCCATGAACAGAGGAGCTCGGTGGGCTACAGTCCATGGAGTTGCAAAGAGGTGAACACAACTGAGTGCACACACACGAACACACACACACAACTTCCTTACCTCATCTAGAATACACCAGGAAAACTCTTCCATGAGCTAAGTTCAAGTCTTAAATATTTAAAGGGACCAATTCATTATTTTAAATTCTAGAGCAGCCACTAATATTAAATTTGAAAGACCAAGAAACAACTGTGGTTTTTAAGAGGGAATATTTCTACATGAGTTGAAATGATAGAGCAATAAAACTAAACATATAAATGAAACGTCTGGTTTTTAATTCAGCTGGAAAGGGATGAAGGTAGGAAAGGATAAAGGAAAGGTACGGAGGAGGAGTAGAAAGCCAAGAAGGGAATTACCGAGTGAGAGACAGCTGCAGCCAGCACAGCAGAAACTATCACACAGTCACAAAATACAAGGTCCAAGTACTTACTCTGTCAGTTTTGAAAACATAATACCAGAAGACGAGGGGCCCAATTCCAAACAGAGCTCCTAAGAGGGAGGTCTTGGTATTGGGTCTGAAATTGGGATAGATATTTGCTGATCTTGCGTAGGTCCAACGAACCAAGGCAGGATCTTCCTAAAATGAATGAAAACAAAAGATATAGGAAATGAAGTTCTACACTGAGAAGCAATCTCATCAGGACTTTTATTCTGGAGCATAGGAGACACCCTTTCTTCTCTCCTACAGTTAAGGGTATATATCCCAAATAGTCCTACATAGCTTCAGAGACGATCACACATTTCTAGCATTTGTTGACTAATTTCCTGATGATCCTGTTCAGAATTTAAAAACTCATATTATCCTTCAGCTTTCTGTTGATTTAAGAATCTTAATCATTTTAAGCAGTCAGAGAAGGCACTTTTTTTTTTAATCCTTTTTTTTCTGTATTGTTTTTGGCTTCACTGCCTTTCTTGAAGTATGACCAACAGAACCACACAGTATTTCCAATGAAGACAAACAGATTTCATATGCTCTATCATACTGTCAACTTTGTTTCCAGGACCCTTTCTAATGCTACACCCATGCCAGTCTCTCCAGGCTACAAATAAAACTGCAGGAAGGATGAAGACTGAGGTAGGCTAACTCTGAACTTAAAAGTTTTTTGAGCTGCCTTGGCTGGTATTTCTAAGAGCAAAATTATTACATTTCACACTATTAAAATAGTTTTTCAAAAGGATAAAGTTGTTAAAGAAAAATAATCAGATCGTCTCGGTTAAAAAAGTAGTTGTGACGTGAGGGCTTAGTTAACTGGCAGCATGTGGGTTCTTAGTTCCCCAACCAGGGAACAAACCCAGGTGCCCTGTGTTGGAAGGTGGATTCTTTACCACTGTACCACAAGGGAAGTCTCCCAAGTTGACATTTTAAATGAAACTGTTTGCAGAGACAGTAAAGAAGGTGAAGACACAAGATACAGGTTCAATGGGACGTGTGAGCTCTATACCTGAAAGGACAAAATATCTGTCTATTCTTATATCTATCCCTTCCAGGGCACACACCAGCTTGGCTTTTCTCCTAACTCTCTGGCTATTCCCTTAGTCTCTTTCATTCACTTCCTACTTCTCCAATCTCTTAAGGGTGAACCTCAGACCTGTGGGTCTTTCCTATCTACATTCACTCCCTTGATAATTTCTAGTCACATAGCTTTAAATATCCACCTATAGGCAATTCAGTTCAGTCGCTCAGTCGTGTCCGACTCTTTGTGACCCCATGGCCTGTAGCCTACCATGCTCCTCCGTCCACGGAATTTTCCAGGCAAGAGTACTGGAGAGGGTTGCCATTTCCCTCTCCAGGGGATCTTCCTGGCCCAGGGATCGAACCTGGGTCTCCCGCACTGTAGGCAGATGCTTTACCATCTGTGCCACCAGGGAAGTTTAACCAGCAAATGTGATGCCAAATGTGATGTATCCCAAACCAATTTCCCAACATGCCATTCCACCTCCATCCCTGATCCTTTCACACTCTTCCCTATCTTGGCAAACTGCAACTTCATTCTTCACTTCAGTCAAAAACCTGAGTTATCCTTGAGCCCTCTCCTTCTCTTACACCACATATCCAATCTACCAGCTAACCTGGCTGGCTCTACTTTCAATACATAACCAGAATGGATCATGTCTTACCAACTTCACTACCATCACCCTTGCAGACACCATCAACTAAGAAATCAGAATACTGCAAAAAGGTCCTAGTCTCCCTGCTCCTGCTTTTTCTCCCCCATAGTCTCTTTTCAACTAAGCAGCAGAGATGTTAAAATATAAGTTCTGATTATGGGACATCCGACTCAGAAAAGTCCTTTCAGTGACCTATGAGACCTGGTGTGATCTAGTTCTAGGTACCTTTTCAATCACATCTCTTCCTACTCTGCCCTCACCTTTCTCTATGTTAATCAATCACAACAGTCTCTTCAGTATTTGGGAGATTAACGAGGCACACTCCTGTTGCAGGACCCCTGTACTTGCTGTCCCCTCTACTAGAATGCTACCTTCCCAGAGAGCCAAGTGGTTAGCTCCCTCACCTCAGTTTTCTGAAATCTTCAATGTTACCTTCTAAGCGAGGCCTTTCCTGAGCCTTTCTAAAATTACAGCTGCTCTCTGTCCCTTCTACATACACACACCCCCTAATCCCCCCTTCCTTGCTCTATTTTTCTTCTCATCACTTACCACTACCTAACATGCTAAACAATTTAATTTTTTAACTTGTCTTCCCTCTGGAAACAAAGCTTTATGAGGACAGGAGTCTTTGCCTGTTTGTTCTCCACTCCAGCCTGTTTGTCACTCCAGTATCTATAAGAGGTCCTGGCATGTAACAGACTCTAAGCAATTACTTATTCACTAAATAAATCATTCTTAAAAGATTAGGCAAAGAATTTCCATGTACTGCTCAATATATAATAGCCAGGCATTCATTTATTTAGGGGCTTCACAGGTGGCACAGTGGTAAAGAATCTGCCTGCTAAGGCAGGAAACACAAGAGACACGGGTTCAATCCCCAGGTTGAGAAGATTCCCTAGAGTAGAATAGGGCAACCCACTCCAATATTCTTGCCTGGAGAATTCCATGGACAGAGGAGCTTGGCAGGCGGGCTACAGTCCATGGGGTTGCAGAGTGGGATATGACTGAGCATGCACGCATTTACTTACCAACCAACAAGGCTGGTATAAAACCTGTTTTACATGGCAAAACTATAACTGCTCTGGGTCACAGGACTGAAAAAGAGAAAATCTGTAATTTAAATCTCAACTCTGTCTGAATCAAAGACTCTTTCTTTGAGTCTTTGAGAAAGACTTTGAGAGAGACTGACTCTTTTTTTAAAAAACTACATCTTAATATCTAGCACACCAAACCCAATCACGTGAGTATATGTATAATGAATGTCTCTCTCCGCACCCTCTTCCAAGTGAAGGAGGTTCTGGCTGGAGACAATATAGCGAAACGTAAGAAGATGCTTTGGGTTACACAGACTATAGTTCAAACTCTGCTCTATCACTTGCTAGTTGATATCACTCTATGACATACTTGTCCTTCCCATCTGTAAAATGGGGACAGTAATAGAGCTTAACTCTTTGAATAGCTGTGATATCTAAATATCATTCAGAAAGAGTTTCAATAGTGCCTGGCACACTGTAAATTCCCTTCAATCCTCTAACTTCCTAAAATTCCTACAGAATACCAATGTAATTGTTGGGAAAAGTCTATTTTTAAAAAATATCATACATCATATTTAAACAGCTCTTGTACAAAAATTATCTAAAAGCATGCTTCTTAAATAATAATACCTTTCAGTTTACTGGGCATGTATTATGTGTCAAGAGTGCTATACAGACTATCTCATTTAACCTCACAAGGATCTATAAAGAATGTACTAACATTTTCATAAATGAAAACTATAAAACTAAGTTTCAGAAGGGTCAGGGATATTGTATAGTCATATAGTTTGCCAGTACTTAGAGCCTTGGCGTTTGACTCCAAAGCGCAGAGCTTCAGTAAGCAGTAGCCTGTTTGGGTCTTTAAAAGGTAACAAACTGAAAAATCACTATATTCCCATCAGGAGAGAGCAGTATTGACTTAACTGTGACTGAAAAGTAGAAAACAGCTTAAAAAAAAAATACACCCCTTTTCCCCCGACGTTTTCTGAACACAAGCCAGGCACTGTGCCGGCCGGTCACTTGCCTTATCTCGTTTAATCCTCCTAAGAGCCTCATAAGATAGGAAGTACCATATTATCCCCATCTTTCTGACAGGAAAACCGAGGCTAAGCAGCAGGGTTCAACAACTGTTTCAAGATCATTCAGGGGGGAAGTGATCAAGCCGAGACTCAAACCCAGCCAGGTTTGAATCCAGAACCTGTCCTCTTTACCACCAAACATTCTGCCCAAGGTCAAAGGACTAATGAACCGGCCTGCTCTCTGGGCCTGGAAGAGGACCTATGTCTAATGGTGACCACCCCGCTGCCTGGTCCCCCTGCAGGCCTGGGCTGAGCAGTCAGACGGGACCGTCCTGACTCTGGCCCCTCGATTCCACCCACTGGCCCCTCACTCACGATAACCCCTCGGCGACTAGGGTCGTTGTACTGAAGCTGGTATTCCCGTTTAAGCCGGGATCTTATGGCCAACCGCTCGGCTTGTGCTTTCCGGGTTTCGGAAGATATGTCGTATTCAGCTGGGTCGAGGGTAGTAGGTAAGCTGGCCAAGCGCGACGGCTTGTACTTGGGGAACGACATCTTGACGACCCGGCGCAAAACTGCGCTTGCGCGACTCCAAGGCCCGCCCTCTTCAGTCTGACCTTCGTCCCGAGGAAGTGCGCCTGCGCGTTAGCCAGAGGTTGTAGATGCGTTAAAGTTCAGCTAGCTTCTTTCCTCAACCTTCCTTCCTCACTGTCCTGGCCCTCTAGTGGCGATCTGCGCTTGCGCAAGGTACTTTGCTCGCCTTCCCCCGCCTGTTTCCCTCGTGTGTGTGAGTGTATGTCCATGGGATTCTCCAGGCGAGAATACTGGAGTGGGTTGCCATTTCCTTCCCTCCCCTACTCCAAATCTGTCTTTTTTGCTCATTCCTAGCAGCCTTGTCTCTACTGACAAACAGAGCTGATTACGTGAAGTTCAGCTGACAGAAACGGAACTGACTGCGGTTCATCACTGTGACCTGGGACAAGTCACTTCAGTTCTCGGAGTTTCCTCTTACTTATCCTGGAGATAATGACCCTTATTCTTTCTACCTAGCAAAACTGTTGTGAGGATTAAAATAAAACAATGAATAGAATGCCAACACACTTTGCAAAACTCAATTTCTTATCCAAGAAAAAGAAAATAATCTTTTCTGTACGTTTGCCACGTTAGATCCATACAACATAAGCAGAAGAGTGTTTTTCATTGGCATAGAATAATGTCTAATAGAATGATGTTAGAAACATTCCCTTCCTGACTATAGGTCAGAAAAAAAAGAGGGGGGCGGGTTATTGAATAGACCTCTGGAATACAATATCTTAGTTAAAATATTAAAGCCTCAAAAAAAAAATTACTAAAGCCTCTTAGGTAAAATTCCTAGCAGTCTTCAGGGGCTAAGAATAACGTTTCACAGAGGTATGAAGATAAGTATCGGGGCGTTGTATCTTGCTGTGAAAGATGATTTGGGGAAAAAAGAAGGGTAACCTAAAAGGAAAAGTTCTCCATCCCTACTGTCCTTCTCTTTCCTACACTATCACCAAAAAAAAAAAAAAGGCGGGGGGGGGGGAGGCAACTTCAAATTGTATGCCAGGGTCTTTGGGTGCTAATGATATACTCCTTTGGGTAAGACAGGTGAACAATATTTCCATAACTCAGGCAGGGAAAGCTGGATCAGCTTGGGTGAAACATCTGGGGACATGTAGGTATGGTTAAGAAATGGTTGCTAAGCAGAGAAGGGATCTAGAAACTGCTGGCACTTTAAGTGATGAGGAGCAGCACTACTGTCAAATTTATTCAACATTTTAATACTGTTTTAAAATATTTATTAAACACTCATTGCATGAAGCACACTGCACACTAGTCAGTCAATCTTCTAGGCTCAGTGAAGGAAACACAGAAGTGAAGGATGAGATGTTTGTCTCTGAGGAGCTGACAATCAGTCGGTACAGAAAGAACAGACAGAATATGATAATATTTGCTAAGCAGTTTAATGTCCAAATGAATATGGAGCAAAATGGGTTCAGGAGAATGCAGGCTGAGGGAATACAGAAAAAACGAAGCTTGAGACAAATCACTCATACTCGATTTTAAAGGAGCAGGGGGAAGTTCCATTTTTCTAAAGTGTTTAAACAGATTAAGAAAATAAAAGCAAAATGAAAAGAAGGAACAGGTTGGAAATTCTAAAGGCTGTGTTGATAGCTTCGAAAACCTTTGTTAATAGATTAGACCCTGAAGAAAGAAGGACATGTAGAAAAAAGAAAAGAAGAAAGAAGTACAGTGAGTACAAACTAACTGACAAAGTTTTTAAAAAAGACTTTTTAAGGTTAAGAGAAGAGGAGAGACAGAATAAATTTCATCATTTCATTTGGATGAGTTAAGGGGGTTATCTCTACATTTGCTTGGTTACCATAAGGATCCCTTTAAATGATTGTTAAAAATATGAAGTCCTAGGTTTTGTTCTGCTCTTGTACACTTAGAATTGGTCTGGCGGTTGTAATTTTTACAACTTTCTGAGGAGATTCTTACAACATTGTGTGTTTGAGGAACACAGAGATAAATACAAGAGGCCTTCCTTTTCCCAGAAATGGCCATCTTAGAATGAATCTATTTATATTGGAGACATAGATTCTATAGTGAAAGGAAAAAACTTGATTGGGATTTTATCTTGAAGCAATGCAACCAGTAAATTATGAAACTGAATTTATCTTGTATTTATCACATTTTATTTTCCAACTGTGTGCTAATTCTGATAAATGAAGTGTTAGTTTGTGGGGACATTATTTTTCTGTACCTCATTATTTTTCATTGCGTTTGATTTTTTTTGTAGTAGGGTCAAATTTGCCAAAGTGTTGGAGGGCTTTGTCCAGTTTTCCCAACACTCTATCTTCATTCTTTGAATCCAAATTATTTCCTTTTGAAGCACTGATGTCATCATCATTCTTATTGATTTTTCTTGTTTTCATTTGTTACCTGATTCAGCTCTAAGATCCTCCTATATTAGCGACTTTGCATGTGGATCTAGCAGTTCATCAATGTCACTTTCATCAGTTTCATAATATTCCACATCTTTTGTAAGATTTGCAATAGATTTCTATTGCATTTGAGGACTGGATATTTTCAAATGGATGACCAAGACTTTGACAGGGTAGATGTAGGCACTAGGGTTAACAAATGGAATAATTTCAGTGAGTAACAATTTCACGGGTGGTCATATCATCAATGAAAATTTTATGTTTTGAAAATTTTTACTTCTCTAAGAAATCTAATAGAATTTACCAGAATTTATTACAATATGGATTACAGGGACTAAGTACATGTGTCTGTACTTTGTCAGAAGAGAGTAGATGAAGTGTTAACGTGTAGAAGGAGAGAAGTACATGTGCGCAGGGGTGGGCAAGCTATATAAATGGGGCAGGATTTCAGGGAACAGAAGGTGGACAGGTGAACACAGAAACTGTAGGAAGCAGATTAGTTCCAGCTTGCGACAATATGAAGAATGTTTCTTCTCTTAACTGTGTAGGATATTATGTAAATTTGTTAATAAACTCTTCACTCTGGGTTGAAAGTAAACCCAATGCCCAGAGATTTAGTTGATCAGTGATTAATAGGAGTTGACATTTAGTGAGTATTCTCTATTGTTATTTTTAAAAATCTTATCCTAACATTGAATGTTAGCAAAGGATATACTGTCAAGCTAATGAAAGGTCCCCTCTTCACAAGAGCCCTCTCTACTACCCTGGGAAGGACCCTCAAAATGTGTTCACATGGTCATTCTGTTTTTGTAAAATTAGAAAAGGAAAGCTATTTGAATGACAGTTTTCTAAGACTGCTGTCTCTCTCCTCTGTGACTTCCCCCTTCTGTAACATTTTTCACCTGTTGGGTAGTATTGCAGTGACCTTAGATATTTGAGGGATCTTGCCCACAAAAAGTGGAATTTAATAAGGTATATTTATTTGATTCACAGCTATGCCAAGTGGAGTTGTTACTAGCCATTCAGGTACAAGATGTCTTCCAGGAATACTGTCATAGCCTAGTGTGCCATGAAGGTGCAGGATCAGTTTGTATTGTGATATAAACTTGTCCTGTGAAGCCTGGCCCTGGAAATAATGAGGGTAGAGGAAGAGAACAAGGTTTGAAAAACAGAACCAGAAGCTAATCTGTAGAAAATTCTTCTAGTCATCAGTGAATCATTTTTTCTGGAAGAGGGTGCCTCCCCCATGGGACAGCTCCTTTTCCCCCAAATTGTATAAACTTCAAGTCCCATCAAGTTTCTTGATGGGTCTTCCTGTTTGTCAGTCTTGTTTAAGGCTACAAGGAAGAGACTCATAATGCTAGGTGAATTAATTTAATTGCATGGAAATCAAGGAACCTGGGGGTAGCAAGGAAAGCCATCTCTTCAAGAGCTGCATAGCATCCTGGGAACTTGTTTTCCAAAACTGAAATGAACAGCAGTTCAAAGAGAGAATAGGAAATATACTCCAGAGTTTTCAGCATGCCACCTAAGCTCATGTAACCCACTTTCCCTTTGTTTACTTAGCATTTACTCTTCCTTTAAAAGAGGGCATTATTGAGTCAGTTTGACACTATTCAATCTGGGTTACCGCAAAGCACCACATGGGAGATTGGCTTTCATTATATCCAACTCATCTGTGGTTCTTTCACTTGGGCACTGTCCAAATGAGTTGTGAATAAGATTGCACAACATTTTACCCTAACAGATACACCTAAGTCAAAGAAGCTTATCATATTTGGAAAAGATTCACATAGAACTACTATCTTCAGAAGTAGATTGTATCCAGAAGATGATTTGAGAGTACACAGCCTCTTACAAACATACATCATTTTCTACATATTTCTTTCATAGCTTTTAAATAAGTCTTACTATCATGGAGCAAATCTCTCCATTTTATTATAGTTCAAAATTGTCTTAGCTACTTTTCTTTCCTTTTCTCTTTCAGAAGAATTTTAGTATTAAACTGTCAAGTTCCATGAAAAAAAAAAAATCCATTGGGATTTGTATTGGAATTGCACCAAAGTTGTAGCTTGACTTGAGAACAAACTTCCTTATAATATTTTATCTTCCCATATGTATTCATTAGTTAGGTCTTTTATTTCCTTCAATCATATTTTGTAACTTTATCCATAAAGAATTCTGGCCTCTTCTTTTAGATTAATTCCTGCTACATTATAGATTTCATTGATGTTGTTAATTGTTTATTTTTCCTATTATATGTTCTGAATGATTATTGCTGGTATACAGTAATATTATTGATGTTAGTATGCTGATCTTGCAACCAGTATGCTTGCTGAACTTTTTAACCAGTCCTATTAGCTTTTCTATACATTCTTTTTGGTTGTTCTGTATAGTCAGTCATTATCTTATGAAAATAGCAGTCTTGCCTTTTCTGTTCCACATTTTATACTTCCTTTTTTCTCTCTTATTGCATTAGCTTGGACCTCCAGGACAATATTGTACAATAGTAAAAGTAGTGAATCTCCTATCTTGTTTTCGGATCTAATAGGAAATCTTCTGTTAGTTCACTGTTAAATATATTTGCTG